CCAAGTGTTAGCTACTTTACCAAGCCATTCCGTGTTTATTTCCTGTTTGGTCTCTAGTATTGTTCTGTGTTTTCCACTCTCCTAGTGTTAGCTGCTATATGGAGCCAGTTTATTGTCATAGTTTTGTCTTTTTCATAGTTCCTAGTTTAGTTTAGTCTAGTCTTGCCTTGCCTGTTTTTCCCGTGTATATATCTCTGCCTTTGTTTTTGGATTGCCCTGTCGTCTTGCCGTTTGGACTCTGTTTGCCCCTGCCTGGACTATTATCGTGTACCTGGATTATCTCTCTCTGTCTAGCCCTCTGGATGTCGTTTGCTGATCGGAGACCCTCGTCTGCTCTTGGATTATTCTTGTGTCTTGCCCGTACCATACCTGTTTGCCATTGTTTGACCCTGCCTGTGTTCTGACCATGTTTATAAATAAAAGCTTGCACATGGATCCTCACGCCTCATGTCTCATCGGCTCCGTTACACCTGGATGGGGCCTCATCAGTGTCCCTGCTCACCCTGAGCTTTGGTGGACTTGGGGCAAGAGAAACAAGAGAAAAATGCGGCACACCTCCGAAACCACCTCTATGCTCCGGAGCGGTATTCTTCGAGGCTTCATGTATCCCATCATGCATCATGTTGTGGAAATAAATCGTGAGACTATTTGCCGAGATCTCGCGAGAGGTCACGGAAACCTTTCCAATGTAATAATTAGTATTTAATATAATAATTAGATATTACATATAATTTGGTAGAAAAAAGTGTTTTTACGTTTTATTGGTGCAAAGATGAGTAGTGGTGATATTTATTTTGTACAACATTTGCAACTGCTTTTTATCACTTAATTAGAAGCACCACAAATTAAAATTGTCATGTTATAGGGACTACTGAACAGACATTTAGAAGTTGATTTTAAAATGCAAAGTATTTAAAATTAAAATAAAGCTATGTAAACACTTGCATTTTTACAACACTATAAGTGTGTCCTATCAGGTAATGAAAAGCTCGACACACACTTGTGGTCTTCATCCTCACTTGAACACTTGGGCCAAATACAGGAAATACATATAAGTAGTCAAGTGATCAAGTGCAAAGACCGCAAGTGTGGGTATTTGGACAAGGCATCTTCCCAGCTAGTCGTCTTGTCAGGACGAGGATGGAACTCCGCCGTGTGGTCGGTGGGTGTCAGTGTTGTTGACAAGGGACAATTTGTTAAAAAGTAAAACAAGAACAGAAAATTATAATAAGGTCTACTTTGTAATAAAATATAGTACAAATGCTGAAATAAATGAAACCAATTATTCAAAAAAATTGGGGCATTTTACAGAGTGATGAATTGTTGAGAAATGTATTCCCAGTAATTTTTTTTTTTTTAAGTATAACTTTTGGGGGACAAATTAGTACATAGCTATTTACCACCAACCAGTCAAAGTTCTTGGTTAGGGGATAAAACTAAGAGTTGCTTTAAATGTCACCACTGTAATCGTTGCAATAATGTTGTGCAAGGTAAAATATTCTTAGATGAAAATACAAGTGAGATCTATTCTATTAAACATTTTATTAATTATCAAACTCCTCATGTTATTTATAGACTAGAATGTCCTCAATGTAAGTTGTTTTATCATGGGAGAACAAAAAGATGATTACTGGATCGATTGGCTGAACACAAATATGCCATCAGGAGGATCGGTTCTGCGCAGATTTTGCTCTATAGTGTTCACAAACCCCATGATTTTCTGGAAAACAAAATGACTGTATTAATCCTTTCATTGTTTTGGCAAAGTTTTATATTTACAAGACAAGAATAGCTCAAAAACCCTCATATATTACGTTTTGTAATATGCCTCACAATGCACTTTGAAAACCCTTTCAAAGATGAAAACACTAAACAAGAAACAAAAAACGACAAAATCCTAAAGCTTTTCAAGTTTCTTTTAAATTTTGTTTGTTTTATATTTTTTACATGTTAGTTTATATTTTTGTTGTTCTTATTTATTTCACATATTCTCAACTTTACAATGCTTTCAAAATACTGTCAAAATACTTTTTGAGGCCTCCATATGACATATGACATATATATATATATACATATATATATATATATATATTCTTTCTTGAGCACCAGCGAATGGTTTTACCTTTTGTATTGGTTTTATATGAATCCCTCAGTTGTCCTCAGTGTGACAAGATGGATCTCAAAAGCGTTCAGTCATTGTTGGAAAGGGGTCAGATATGCAGAAGATGCTGGAAAACCAAAGAATGTGCAGGACCTGGATTTTGATGGATTTTTGACTCATGAACAACCATCACAAAACATAAAATCAATTGTGGATCTTCTAGGTAACAACACACAGTATTAAGATTCGATATGTAAACTTTCGAATGGGGTAATTTTTATAAACAGTTATTATTTTGCCTTGTGCACTATATGTAAACATTTGTTATGTGACATAGCCTATTCAGGAGACTACTGAATAAAAATACATACAATTTTTATGGTCTCCTCTTATTTTGTTAAAATTATTAACATTTTTGCAGATTCTGCAAGGGTATGTAAACTTTTGAAGTGTATGCAGATTCCTAAACAATGTATCTTTTTTTATATTAGCCAAAATTACAGAGGTATAATTATCTCCAAGCAGAGATTCTGTTGAATGAACGTGTTCATACACAATTCATTACTGTTGTTCAATATCCTTTCATGTGCCTGTCTTGATACTCATCAAAATGTCTTTTGGAAGAAACTAAAGTGCTATTTCCTTAAAATTAAATTGCCTATGACTTCCAAAATTAGCCCATCCCCTCGTTCATGGCACACCTGATTAGTAGGCTACAAGTTAAATCATACTAAAAAGCCCATAACCTATGACTAACTTGCCATACACATACATAACAATAAAATGAATGCTAAGTTTTTAATGCTATGCAAGACTTCCTATGCAAATAGATATACATGTACTTCTGTTGAATCAGGAAGACTGTCGCTGGCTTGTGATTAAACTAGCTACTTCCTCATCAAATACTATAAAACATTTGGGCGGTGTATCAGCTGAACACAGAGCCTTCAGGTTTGTGGTACATTCACTGCGGTGCACTGATTAAAACATCATGCAGTTTGCCTTCGTCACTTTTTTTCTCTTCACTTCTACCCTGACTTCAGGTAAGAGAGTTTAAATATTAAATAAAGCTGGCTATGACATATGCGCGTGCATAACCATTTAAACGAATAATTAAAATGCTAAATATTACCAAAAAAGAAGTCCGGAGTTAAATTAGACTTCAAAGGTAGACTGCAAGGTTTCTCGAAGGCAGTCAATTCCCTTGTATTTTCAGCCAAGTAGTTTAGTTTCAATACAATTCCATATTATTTTTATAGAAATACTTCACATGTTCTGGCTTCTCTATAGGATGGGCAAGAAGTGTAGACCTTCAGCTCACAGAACCGCAAACAGCCAGCCTTCACATGGTGAGTGACCAATGATTGAAAAACGACTACTTGCATGTCCAGTAAAATGCAGATGAAAATAAATATTCTGTGTGGATCAGTTCTAAGTGTACACTGTTCATAAACGGAGAATGCCACTACTACCCCATTACATAGCCTACATTTTTATTCATTTTATAAACTGGCATGCCAGCATACACCGTGTCTAAGTTCATTTATAATAATCTACTTTATAGAAACATACATGCTTTTAAAGGAACACTCCACTATTTTTGAAAATAGGCTTATTTTCTGACTCACCTAGAGTTAAACAGTGGTAGTTTCGCTTTCACAACGAAATAGCGTCACACACCGCGGCCTTGAGTGAGCAGAGGCGGGCAGGCTTGACGGTGCGGCCGGCGGATTCGACGAAGGAGCGTCCGTAGAGCTTGCGGCAACCACATGTGACGACTCCAGGCTGGACTCCGCTTCGTCCACGGTGAAAGCCGATCCGGCGATCCACAGCACTAAGTTGTAGTATTTCCTCAGCGACCAGCACAGATCAGCTCCAGGCATGACGAAGCAGATATCGTCCTCTTTTGGAAGACCAAACAAAGTAGTTTCGCTTTCACAACGAAACACACAGCGTCTTCACGACATGGCGGCGGCAGCAACAATACTACAGCGAGAATAAAAGTTACGCCTTCTTTCTTTGCGTGAACATTTGGGCGGCGTTATGCAAATCTTCCCACATCGTGACGTAGATATGTGGGGGCGTGTTAGAATGAGCCGTTTTAGGTAGGAGTGGCTGACTCTTAACTTTTATAAAGAATATCTCTTTGGATTTGAAATCGCATCATATGACCCCTTTAAATAATAGATCATAACAACAATTGAACCTTAAAAGACGATCTGAGAATATGGTAATTTTCACACTTCCTTCATTCTAGTAAAGATAGGTTTCTCTTTTACCCATACCACCCTAAAAAAGAGGTTGTGAGAGTTTGTGGTTTTATGTTAGAAACAGTATCACATGGTATACACTATTCCTTTGTGCATTTTACTATGCAGCCAATAAACTAAGCACTGAAATGCACAAATATTGAAATTCGCTTAAATGTCTAGTCAGGTTTTATTCATATTACATCAAATAGTCCACAGAATATAACTTTGATGACTGTAAGTCAACATGATATTCCACTGTCCTCATCCTTTAGATGGACAACATGTGCACCGACTGCAAAAAGACTGTACAGCTGCTGACAGAAATCCTCTCCAGTCAAGACTCACAGGTGAAATTGTGTTTGTGACGTTACTAATACGTAAATTCTATTGAAAGTCATTGAATTTATTTGAACACTCTTGGTAAATCAATGTTTAAGTCATTTTAGTCCATAGTTTGAATTGCACATTTCTTTATTTTTTTATATGCCAGACAAAGTAAATACCTCCATTGCAACACAATCTCATGGCAGTTCATATCTGTTTTCTGTTTTAGAGAAGCGAAATTTGCAGTTGCGTTATTTTCAAACAAGAAAGCTAGTTTCACTTTTTAATGGCAGCTGAGCCATGTGAAGTAGTTTTTTTTTTTTTTTGCTGCAATAAGTTGCTTTGAATAGAAACTTCAACTAAACTACATGTTTTATAAGCCCATTGTTACGAATGATTTAGAGTTGTTCATACATTGATCTTGAATTGTTCCCTCTTCACAGCATCTTATTGAGAAATCTCTGGACAAGTTTTGTTATGAACACCCCGTCATCCCTTTGTGTATGAATGGAGCAAAGACATACGTACATTTGGTTATCAGACATTTCAGTGCATTTGCAGTGAGTACTTCTCAGTTTAACATCATGACAGTGAGTGATTCTAATAGCCAGAACAATTTCAGGGGTTTCAGTTATTGAACCTTTGGCAGAATATTGCAGTGCTATTCATAACTGACTACAATGGAGATTCTCCTCTATCCACCATCAACGAGTGTCTCGTTCCTTAGGTTGCTTGCACACTTGGGGAATAAAGATAAAAGTATTCTGGCATGACTTCCAATTGACTTTTTGATTAAACTTCTTAATGGTGGACGATACGACCAAAATCTTAATCCAAGATATTTTAAACATGTATTATGTATTTCAGCAAAATTAACTGTTTATTATTTATGTAAAGAATTATTAGTGACCCCACTGGCCTTATGTTGCATCATTCACCTTTAACTTTGAGGCCACACCCTTCCCGCAGTCAAAGAACAGATGTTTTCTCGTGCTGACAGATAACCAGATTTATGTGTGTGAGAAAATATCATATTTGGTGTTAAAAATAAATGACACAGCGGATGAGAACAGTTCCTATTCTCAGGGTAGCAGCTGCACATTTGCTCAGTTGCATCAGATCAGTGTTAGTGCCCCCTTTTATTTATTAGTCTCAAAATTATTCATATTTTTGTATATCTTATATAAAATGGGAACATTATATGCCTATGCAAAATTCACTTTTTTATTTTTTTTATTTTTATTCATAAAGATAATTCATGGAAAATGCGCCATGCTTAGTTAGAAGATTTCTGACACTTGTTGGAAAACACTTTAAAAATGAAAATGACATGTTATTCCCACTACAACCAGCAGAGGATCACTCATTGGCTCGTTTCCACTCTCTAATGTAGTCCTTTTAACGTGTTTTGCTTTTGGATTTATATTTAGACATTAGAAAAATCACAATTGTGACCCTGGACCACAAAACCAGTCATAAGGGTCAATTTTTCGAAATTGAGATTCATACATCATCTGAAAGATGAATAAATACGCTTTCCATTGATGTATGGTTTGTTAGGATAGGACGATATTTGAACATCTGGAATCTGAGGGTGCAAAACAATCAAAATATTGAGAAAATCGCCTTTAAAATTGTCCAAATGAAGTTCTTAGCAATGCATATTACTAATCAAAAATGAATTTTTAAAATATTTACAGTAGGAAATTGACAAAATATCTTCATGGAACATGATCTTTACTTAATATCCAAATGATTTTTGGCATAAAAGAAAAATCAATAATTTTGACCCATACAATGTATTTTTGGCTATTCCTACAAATATACCCCAGCGACATAAGACTGGTTTTGTGGTCCAGGGTCACAATTATAATATTTAAAAACCAATAAAAACATTAAAAATCAAAGTTCAGCACTTTTTTGTACTGATGTATGAAGTAGTAACCCGTGGGATCTACATGAATCACACAAATGACCTATTTTGAATTCAAAACGGCGATTTTCGGCAATAGGTATTGTTTGCATCTCTGTTAACAGTCAGTTTCTCTCGAATGTAAACTGAACGCCAATCACAAACATACCACAACTATTTTATTTTTTGAGCGACAGATAATCGGAAATGAACTGATATTATGCTTAATCACTTTGCCCTCTCAAGCAACGTCATGTTGATTGACTTCATGACCTACAGTGAAAAAAAATGACAGGTTAAGCTTACCAGTCTCTGTTTGTTCACTTTATTTTAATGTTCTTTTCCCCTTTGTCTTTTTCTGTTCTGCTCCCCTTTCCCTCCTCTATTCATTTTGGTCATGTGACTGTGTCTGTGATAGTAATGGCAAAGGGTGAGCTGATATGGACTCGCTTGATAATAAAATGCATTTTGAACTTGTTTAAAATGCTAAACAAAGTTAAATAAAATGTTTTCTTTCATTATTTTAACAAATAAGCTTTTATTTATAACATTTTATTAAAGAAGATTTAGGGCAAAATTAATTGTAGACTCATGTTCATATGTATCTTTAAATGATTCATCTAAAATTTCAAAAGTAAAAAGCGTTTGAGACCATGCCACTAGTCATAAAAATACATTAGCTAGAGCTCTGTTCTGATGTGTATTTCATGCATAACTCATGCATATTTAATACGACTGCCATGACTCAAACTGTACTTTTTTTTTTCTTAGGTTCAAGTCAATCCCCTCTGTAACTTCTGTATGTTGTTCATAAAGACAATAGAGAGCATGCTGCCAAAAGAGAGAACTGAAGTAAGACCTCTTCTGTTGGAAATCTAGTTCACATTTTAAGAAGTGTAAAATGTTCATCATTTCATTGATCTATAAACTGATTATAAACTGCTCCTGGGCTATTTTCCATTTTGCTTGCCTGACCTGTAGGAGGCTATAGTGAACCTTCTGGAGAAAATCTGTGACTATTTGCCCTCACAATATAAGCACACATGTAGCAACTTCGTCGAAACGTACGGAAAGCAGCTGATTGATCTGCTGTTGTCCTCCCTCCCTCCACATGCCATCTGCACTGCGCTGGGCCTGTGTCTCTTCCCAGAGACGCCACTGTTATGTGAGTAGCATGAAGGACAGCAGCACAACACAGTCTTTCTTAGAGCCTGGTGCTAACAACGCCAGGGCCATGGGTTCGATTCCCAGGGAAAGCATGAACTGAAATCTGAAATAAAAATGTGTACTTTGAATGCAATGTAAGTCACTTTGGATAGAAGCATCTGCCAAATGTATAAAAATCTTAAGGCGATTCGTAACATAACATTTTACATTTTGGTGAATTAGTGGCTAATTCATATGAATTTGTGCAATCACAATCATACGTTTTCTGCCTACACTCTATTGACAGTTAGGTTTCGGGGGTGGCGCTTCATTCTTGCTCTTTATTCTAAAAATTGCATGTTTTCATAGGAATCGCATCATGCAAATGAATACAAATCTCCACCTCATAAAATAGTTGAGTCTTCTCATGAGATCGGGATAATAGCCTATGGAAGCCCATTTCCGCCACTGAATAAAAAAAAAGAAAAAAGGTATTGGCGACTATTTATCTCACAATTCTGACTTTTTTCTCGCAATTGCAAGTTTATATCTCGCAATTTAAATTTTTTTCTCAGAATTGCGTGACACAAACTTGCAATTCTGACTTTTTTTCAATTGTGAGATATAAACTCGCAATTGCGTGTTATAAAGTCAGAACTGCAAGATATAAACTCAAAATTCTGTGGGGAAAAAAAAGTCAGAATTGTGAGATAAAAAGTCGCAATAAGCTTTTCTTATTTTTTTATTCAGTGGTGGAAACGGGCTTCCACAGGATAGTTATAGAAGCCCGTTTCCGCCACCGAAAAAAAAAAAAAAAAAAAAGGTAATTGCGACTTTTTATCTCACAATTCTGACTTTTTTTCACAGAATTGCGTGAAAATTTCACAGAATTGCGAGCTATAAAGTCAGAATTGCGAGATATAAAGTCACAATTGCGAGATAAAAACTCGCAATTCTGACTTTTTTTCTCGCA